CAGACTTAGAGAAGGTAGCAGAGTGAAGTGATAGTGTGAAGTTGATGTTCTGGCCCTTGAGTCAAACTGCCTGGACTAGATCCCAGCTCAGCTCTTACCTTGGGCACATCCTGACACATCTGTGTGTTTGTTTCCTCATCTATGAAACGGGTGCCCTTATAGTTCCTGTCTTCCTAGTCTTATAGTTGTGAAGACTAAGTAGATAATACAGGGAGAGCCCTTGGTCAGTATATATGAAGTAACTATTAACTCAGCCAGTGCACTTTGCCTGATCTCCAAAGAGCTTGCAAATTTAGCTTCTTCTGTTTCATGGTATTATAAGTGTTTGGGGGGCAGTTCATTATAGGGTGAATGTTTTTGTTATTTGCAAGGGTATTACAATCCAAATATACGAATTAAAAAGCAACCATGACAGGTAGCAATCAAGTTATCAGATTTCTGTCCGGTCCCTGATCCATAGACAGAGGTTAGAATTTTAAAGGAAACTCCTTTAGTCAATTAATACATGGACTCAATTTTCATTAATCATTTTATTCAGTGATATTTATTCTCACCTACTTAATTTAGATTCTTGAAAGCAGACTTCAAAAGGATATTTATTTTGCTCGATTCATTGCTAGAAAGCAAAGATTAAAAGCTTATCAGGAAAGATAGAAGCATATGAGGTGGCTTATTCAGGTCAGCTGCCTCAAGAGTGCCAAAGCCTTGGGAAGAATCTTGAACCCATTGGTAAAATGGTTGCTATAATCTGATCTCCATATGAAAACCTTATATTTCTACTCCATGGCACTTAAAAATCAAATTATGTCTACCATAAGACAATATCAGGCTGAAAATGATGTATAGAAGATTCAAGTCAAATGGATATCTAGACACAATTTGGTATTTTTCTCATTCATCCATACGTATCATTTGAAACTTAGTCAATCCCATTTAAATAAAATTCTTTTTTTTTCCTTTTACTGATTGGTGATTATTTTAAAGTAGGAGATAAAGGACTTTTCTCAGGCTTATCCAACCACCCCACATCATGTAAGAGTCATTTTCTACAACTGTGTGTGTATAAGAAACCATGGATGCATCCCACCTGAGCCCCTGTGGAATGAGCTGTCCAAGCAACTTTCTTTCAGGCATCCATTGTCTTTCATACTGACTGCGTAGGTCAAACAGGGAAAAGATTGGTAAAATGCGTATGACATCCACAGTATCCCCCTTGAAGTTGAACTTTAAAAGGAAATCTGCCACCATTATTTACTTCTCTGTGGCAGGAGCTCCTAGTAACCTAGGAATTATAGGAAGTGAGAACATTGGATAGCAGACCATGAAAAGATCATTTAAAAACAAATTTAATTAACTTTTTTATTGTAGTATAGTTGATATACAGTATTATATTACTCTCAGATGTACAACATAGTGATTTGGCACTTACATACATGATGCAACGATCACCACAGTAAGTCTAGTTGCCATTGGTCAGCATACATGGTTATTGCAATATTATTGACCATCTTCCCTATGCTGTACTTTCCTTCCTATGACTCAATTCTTTTATAATTGGAAGTTTGTATTTCTTAATCTTTTTCACCTATTTTTCCCATCCTCCCCCTCACTTTGAACATGAAGAGATCTTATTGTGCACAGGATATTCATCATGCCATGGAAATCAGGCAATCACCCTGGCCTAGCGAGACTTAGAAAGAAAGACTTTCACAAAAAAGTTTTGAGCATCGGTATAACCACATATTCTAAAGTCTTCTTCTGTAAATTCTGTTGTCTTCTCAACATAACCTTCTCAGTATCTGTATCCATATATGAAAGTTAAAGACTCTTTGCAGCTAAAATGTCCCACTTCCTTAAACTTACCTTTTGTCCCACAAGATATTTAATTTTGCCTTGAACTTTTAAATTTCTGTGACATTGGAGATACAACCAAAATTCCTGAAATTGTGTACTTAACATCTGTTCCAAGCCTCAAAAATCATAAATTATACAGCAAAGATAGGGTAACATCTGTTCTTCCCTTAGCCCTAAATTGCCTTCTTTGGGATGGTAGATGAAGGGATATTATGATTTTGAGCTATGATCTGAAAGTATTTTGAATCAAATAAAGATATTAGAACAAAGTACCTATGAAGGACATGTCTGACATTCAAAACCATTTCACTGAGGCAGGAAACTTTGCTGGCAAGATATTGACTTTAGCTAACTTTGTTAGTTTGCTGGAGCTGTCATAATGAGTACCACAAACAGGGTACTTAGAACAGGAAATGTATTGTCTCACAGTTCTGAAGGCTAAAAGTCTGAAGTCAAGGTGTCAACAGAGCCACACTCCTTCTGAAACCTGTAGGGGAAGGATTTTTCCTTGGCTTTTCTTAGCTCCAAGTGATTTGATGGCAGTCTTTGATCTGATAAGCTTTCTTGTCCTATAGAGGCTTTATCCCAATCCTCCATCTCTGAGCATATCTGAATCTGTGTCCAAATTTCCCTTTTTATGAGAAAAAAGGGAATATTGGATCAAGGCCCACACTAATGGCCTTACTTTTATTTCATTATTTCTGTGAAGACTCTATATCTAAATAAGGCCATCTTCCAAGGTACTGATGTTTAGGACTTCAACATATCTTTTAGGAAAAGGAGAGGGGACCCAACTCAATCAGTAACACCAGCTTACGTAACAAAAGGAATTTATTGGAAAGAAATGTGGTGGCTTACTTAATTGAAGGAAGAACTAAAGTGAGAAGACCTGAAAAGGCAAGAGCATGGTTGCCCAAAGATCCAAGGAGTAGGACCTACTACCAGCCCCACGAGGAGGCTGCTGCGCTATCAATGGACCTCCACTAACTTCCCATCTTTCCATCATTCCACATGGCATTCAGAGTCCCAGGAGAAGGTCTGATTGGATCACTACCTGGCCAGGAAAGTTGGGAGCAACATCATTTGCTGCCAACAATCTGAAAGCAACAGAGAAGAGATAATTCCCAAAAGCTTTGGGATGCTATTACCAAAAGAAAGGAGAAAGGATGCTAAATGGATAAAACCAAGGGTCTAATCTAAACCCTCTAGCAGGAAATGAAGAAGGGAGCATAGTTTGGGGAAAATTTTTTCACATACTCCAAATTCAGGGTTAACTCTATGTTCATAATAAATCTCTGATGATTATTAATACAGTCATTCAGAAAAAATTGTCATTTTGATATGATTTGCCTTTCTTATAAGTCAAGATCATGGAGGGAATTCCAGATAATCATAACTCTTTCCCTTACTGCATTATCTTTAGTTATATTCTGCTACCATGTTTTATAGATAGAGAAAATGAGTTCCCAGGTGAGCCTTTCTCCCATTCTTCGGTCTGTTGTTCCTTGTACTCTGGTCCAGGTCAGGACACTCACCGTGCTGCTGGCTATAGAAAGCCTCCTGGCATGTCGTGGTCAACTGCTCCCTAATGCCTTGGAGGGAAGGGTATAATTCTCCCCTCTCAGCTCCTGAGGCACCCACTTCTTATGTTCCGAGACTGAGCAGGCTCTCCTTCTTATTCCACCCTCTTTCTCAACTCATCCTACCACCACCTCTTCAAAGAATATAGCCATTGTTATGTTAGTTATGCTTTGAATTAAGAAAAGAAAAGAAGAGGTGGGAAAAATTAAAGTGAATTGCATAAAATGAAGGACATAAGGGGGTGTCTCATCATTAAATGGTATAAAATCTTAATGAATAGACTTATCCCCCAGGCTTTATGTTTGCACTTATTCTTTGACATTTCCAAAGACAAGTAGCTGATAGACCTATTGGAGTATTTTGCCTCTTGTCAAATTCCCTGAACTGCCTGGGCATAGAAGTGATGATCTCTAAGACTGGAATAACACATAAGAAGCAGTCTGGGAGTTAGAGGCCAGATCACGGAATGGACCAGGTTGCATCTCTATCTGGAACAAAAAAGAAAACTAACACATTGACAAAACATGGACTCAAAAACTGGTAAGCAGTGAGTCCCATGAGGGAGAGTAGACCCCAATAAATGAGGATGAGGTGGTCTCTACCAGAAGGTAGGACATGATGGAGCAGGAAATGTTTAAAATTTTACATTCTGGGCATCAGAGAAACAATTAAATGGTCTAGTCCAGAAGTAATGCATGTCAAGTCTGTTCACAATTTCTTGACCAGACCAATCACTAGGCCCCATCCAACCACAAGGAGACCAGGAAGCACATGTGCCCAGAAGGGGGAGCTGGACATATTTAGCAACAGCAGCAATGACTTCCACTTGTCAAAATGCAAACTCCCTCGCCAACAGACTCTGATTCAAGAGATCCTTGGAATCTGCATTTTAACTGGATCTCCTTAGAGGAGTCTGATGCAGGGGAGAAGAGTGGAATCTCTGGAATACTGACTTAGAATCTCACCTCAGGATAGCTAGGTGATTAAGAGGATGGGGGCAAATCTGAGATCTCGTTCTTGGCACCTTGTTATCAAAGGGGGCTACGGGTGCCTGGACTCTGCGGTTGAAAGGGCTGGACAGAAGCTCCTGAAGTGTCCAGGCGTGAAGGTAAGTGTTGGAACCACGCATGAGACAGAGCAGACTCTCAGGTGTGTATCAAGCTTCTCAGAGACAGGGAGAGGAAGAGGGATGTGGAGCCAGCTCCAGCAGTGACTCTCAGACGTGATCTAAGGTTGATAATTTATGTCCACAGAAACCCATGGACCAATATCACATCTCATTATGTAATTGCTTGTTTCTTCCTCTGTCCTTCTCTGGCTTCATCTTCCCCTACTCTACTACCCGCTCTCCCTGCCTCCCCCCACATTATTTTTTCTTTTCTTTCTTCTTTATTTTTATTCTCTGCTTCCCCCTCTGATTTTCCTCTTTCCCAATATTTCCTTTTCTTACATCCCTTCTCCCTTCTACTCCTTCCCCACTCTTCTTTCTCCTCAACCATTCTTCCCTCCTTCTCCCTCTCACTCCTCCTTTCCTGTGACACCCACACCTTCTGTTCTCTCTCCAGGTATTATGCCATCTGCTGCCAGCCTCTGGTCTATAGGAACAAGATGACCCCTCTGCGCATCGCGTTAATGCTGGGAGGCTGCTGGATCATCCCCATGTTTATCTCTTTTCTCCCTATAATGCAAGGCTGGAATAATATTGGCATAATTGATTTGGTGAGTACCTGTGCAGACCCCACTAGCTTACTCGCTGATGAACTTTATTTGCTTGGGATTCTAAATACAAACCATGTCAGGTTGGGTGGATATTCTAAGACAGATTCTGATAGTGGTCTGAGTGACAACAATAACAACAAAAAAAAGCAAGCTAACATTTTGGAATGTTTGCTGCATTCCAGAAAGTATGCTCAGATTTTACATAGAATCCTGACACCATCCTTCTCTCATCTCATCCAGATGAGAAAAGTCAGGCTCAAAAAGGTGACGTAACATGCCCAATAAATAGCAGAACAGGTATTCAATGCTTAGCATTCAAACTATAGAGCCTGAAGTATGTGAGGTGCCCCCAAGAGGCCTTCATCCCATTTCCTGGCTTCCCGTGACCAGCAGAAAACACATCATGTGGATGGAGGCTTCCAGAGAATGAAGACAATCCTGGACTAGGGGTCAAGAGAATTGGACCCTGAGTCCAGCTCTGTCCCTGACCTTGAAGGAGTGCAATGAGAAGTTGCATTGGTCTTCAGTGGAGGAGTGTGTCCTCCAGGGGTGTAGGAGAGCAGGATGTGGCACATGTGCTGGGCATTTGCCAGCCCCTGTCCAGACAATTTTCAGGAGTCTTCCAGCTCTGACACACTATGTTTATAGTACCAAACTTGCAATGAAGATCAGAAGTTATGGTGGGAGTTAACTGGCAGTGATATATATTCCCGAAGGAAGTTGTAGGCAGTCACTTTGAAATGGGGAATGTGTTGAGGTAGGAAGGGGGCTGGAGATGAGAGATCGAGTGCAGGCTCCAACCCACCAAGACCGTTAGAGTAGGAGCTGCCTGTTCTTCTCTCCACCACATTCCCAGCCCCTAATCTTACCTTGTTCTTTGTCCAGGAAAGGATATCCAAGCCAAGGCTGGGCCAGGATTTGCATGTGGTATGTCAGAACAAGAGTTCCTTGGGCTTCTGAAAGAAATGCTGGGGACAAAGGAGTGGAGAAGTAAAAGGGGATTCATACAAGGGGGACTGTATGGATATTTTCTTGAATCCTATCCTTCTTCTTTCAAACTTCCAGTTTTGCCATTCACAAGGGAAATGAAATTCAAGTTTCCAGTGACCAGTAGAGTAATAATTATGGCCAACAAATGTTGAACATTTACTATTTGACGAGTCCATGTTCACTTAATCATCATTTCTGTGACCTCGCTCAAGCTTTACAACAATGCCATGAGGTTGATCTTACCATTGCCCTCAGGAAACTGAGCAAGAGAGGTTAAGTTATTAGCTATAGTCAGATTAGCAGGGAATGGTGGTGACTATAGCTATGCCTGGGTTTACTGCAGTCCAGAGTCTATGCTCTTAATTTCTGTACTAAACTTAATCCCTAATGGAGAAGACATTTGGAAACATAAGCTTTTGTGCATTAGAACTTTAAAAAAAAAAAAGAGTGCAGCACTCTTACCTTTGGATATAGAATTTCTAAGGGAAATAATCTAGAGAATTGTCCATTTTGAGAGTGAGACATCCCCTATTTACTTAATGCAACTGAGGAATGGAGTATCTGCGTGGTGTGAAGATGCCTAATATTTGCTCCATGATGCTGTGATTGCCCTGCATATCCTTCCACTCACCTGCACATTGAATTGACCTAGACAGAAGCTAGCACAACCCATGTGTTCACAATGCAGGTACAGTTGATTCTCACTATTTGCAGTAAGTAGGTTCTATAAAGCTACACAAGTGCTGAATTAGCACATACTGAATCTTTGCTCCTAGGAGAAATACAGAGTTAGGTTCCTGCAAGTTCTGGTCACAGTATTTTCATCAACTAATCAATACACAATTATGCTGCTTGTGACAGAGCCCATGAAATATAAGGTGACAGTAAGTTTAATATATAAAATAATGGAAAATATAATATTCAAGCACTAATCAAAAGAAAGCTGGGATAGGTATACTATTATCAGTGATAAAATAAATTTAAGGCAAGTCATACTACTTGAGGTGAAGAGAAATATTTCATTATTATTAGAAAAGCATGAATTCAATAGGAAGGTATATAATATGCCTTGAGACAAGACACTAAATAAGACACAAATAAAATAACATGTGTGTGTCATATATGTTATTCATACATTTGTTTGTATGTACATTCACACTGGATGCAGGCTGACCTCAGACAGAGAGGTGTCGTTGCATTATATAGCTCTCTTCAGCCACGGGCTGTTCCTAGATAAGGCTGATAACTCAGAGCTGTCAGCAGACAGAGTTTATAGTAGGGAGAAAAGTCCTTCAATCTTTAAAAGAGATCCAGTGTATTACAGTATCTAATACTGGTGAGGCTTATTCCAGGAATGTAACACCATGACTGTAATTCACCATATTAATAAAAGAAAGAGGGAAAACCCACATGATCATTCTTTACTGCCAAAAATTCATTTACAAAATTCAGTATCCATGATTTTTTAAAAAAAAATCTCATCAAAATAAAAATAGAAGAAAGCATCCATAAAAATCTTCCAGCAAATATCATACTTAATAGTAAAATATTGAAACTCCCCTCCTAAAACTGAGACTGTAAAATGGTATCCACTATTACCTCTTCTATTCAGGGTTACACTGGAGATCTTATCAAGTTCAATAATGCAAGAAAAATGGCTTTAAGATTGGAAAGGTAGAAGTGAAATTTTTATTATTTGCAGATCACATGGGTACTTATGGAGAAAATTTGTAAGAATCTAGAGATGAAATATTAATAACGGATTTAAAGGAGTTGCTGGATACATCACCATACAGAAAAATTTCACTGAATTCCGCATAACGGCAACAAATAACTAGGACTAGTTGGTACCATTTGCAATAGAATAACAAGTCAAATACATAGGAATAAACCTGACAAAAAATATGCAAGACATTTACAGCAAAAAACTGTAAAACATTTTAAAGGATTTAAGTAAAGGAAAGAATTACCATATTTGTGAATTGGATGGCTTACCATGGGAAAGAAGTCCATTTTCCTCAATCATTCTATTGTAATTCCAATCAAAATCCCCAAAAAACCTGTATGGAAATTGATAAGCTAATTCTAAATTTTATATAGGAAATGCTAATGTATAAGAATAGTCTTGAAGAAGACGAGCCACAGTTCCAAGACTTTTACTACCACATATATTGTGTGCAGGCAGACGGGAAGGGAGGAGACACTAACTCTGTGCTCAGTTGGGTAGAGAGAATGAAGGATGATTTTGTTCCTATCCTATTTCTACTCTTTCCTGGGGCCTTCAGCCCCTTGTGCAGAGGCAGTCCCTCTGCGCCCCAGTGCAATCATATCCCTTTCTACCTTCGCAGTTCTATGTGCTATAGGCTCATTAGGAAAAGAAAACTTGGCTGATAAACCTTCTTCTCTCTTTCCTCCTCTTTTTCCTCTTATGTTTTCCCCTACCTTCCCTGCTCTTCTTTGTTCCCCTCCTTTTCTCTCTCCTTTCCAATCCTCCCTTGGCTTTTTCATCTTTTTTCTTTTCTCACAATTTTCATAATTCCCCTCTTGCTTCACTTTTTCCTTCCTATTCTCCCTTCTTTCCTCATTTTTCTCTCCCTCCAACTCTCAGATAGAAAAAAGGAAGTTCAACCAAAACTCCAACTCTACGTACTGTATCTTCATGGTCAACAAGCCCTACGCCATCACCTGCTCTGTGGTGGCCTTCTATATCCCATTTCTCCTCATGGTGCTGGCCTATTATCGCATCTACGTCACAGCAAAAGAGCACGCCCACCAAATCCAGATGTTACAACGGGCAGGAGCCCCCTCTGAAGGCAGGCCCCAGCCAGCTGACCAGCACAGCACTCATCGCATGAGGACCGAGACCAAAGCAGCCAAGACCCTGTGCATCATCATGGGTTGCTTCTGCCTCTGCTGGGCTCCATTCTTTGTCACTAATATTGTGGATCCATTCATAGACTACACTGTTCCTGGGCAGGTGTGGACCGCTTTCCTCTGGCTTGGCTACATCAACTCTGGGTTAAACCCCTTTCTGTACGCCTTCTTGAATAAGTCTTTTAGACGTGCCTTCCTCATCATCCTCTGCTGTGATGATGAGCGCTACCGAAGACCCTCCATTCTGGGCCAAACTGTCCCCTGTTCAACCACAACCATTAATGGATCCACACATGTGCTAAGGTGAGTGCTTAGGGGCTTGATAGATTTTGTGTATTTGCGTGATCGGAACGGGTACCTCTCCAGTTTTTTGTTTCCAGACGGGTTGTTCTTGAGAACCTGTGCAGTGTTTACAAAAATCAAAGAAAATTCTATTTGGTCATGAAGTAGAGTAGTGGGTAAGGCCTCAGGCCCTGGAGGAGACTGGCTTATATTCAAATCCAGTATCCACAGTTCTGTGACCTTGGGCAAGTCATTTAACCACTCCGGACTTCAATTTCATTTTTTTTTTTTTTAACTTGAGATCACAGTCACAATATCTACATCACAGAGTTTTTGTGAGGATCAAATTAGCTAATGTGCATAGAGCACATAGTACAGATCCTGACACCTAGTAAGCCTTTAGTAAATATTATCTACTAATACTTATAGGTAGTGTTTTGCAGTAGTGGTTAACAGCATGGGCTTTAAGGTAAAAAGAGACTTTATTTTGACTCTTAGTGCCACTACTAACCATTTATATAATCTCTCCTGGCTTTATTTTACTCAATTGTAAAAAAAGAAAAAAGTAACATCCATCTCATAGGACTTTTGATAACTAGAGATAATGGATTCATTTAGGGCTTGACACATAGCACTCATAATACTACTAACAGTGTTATTAATATTATTAGTAGGAGCACTAGTAATAACATATAGCCTGATACCTTAGATGGCCACAAAATAATGTGATAAATGAAATAAATAGAAGGGTAAACGTGCAACAGTAATACCATGTGATAAATGATGTAATGGAGGTATGGATCATGGGGAATGGGAATTTGAGGAGGAAAGAAGCTGATCTTGGCTTAAGAAAATAAGGAAAGAATTTGAGACTTGGAGGAGAAATCAAGGAAGCCATTCTAGCAAATAGAACAGCATGAGGAAAGCAATGGAATGGGAAAGAGCATGGAAAGGTCAAGTGGTTTACCCAAGGTCACCTGGGTTGATGGAGATGGGAGTAACTTTGAAGCTGGAAGTTCAGTGACCAGTCATGATGCCTTTCTCTAAACCTTGAGAATTTTCTGGCCCCCTAGGCTAGAGTCATTCTCAGCCATGAAAAACCATGTGTTAAATAAGTGCATTCATCCTGTAGCAAAACAAATTGTCAACCGCATTTTTTTCTTTGCCTTGAGATGCACAGGAATTTCTAAAAAGCAGTTCCTTCCCTGACACAAGCATTTAATTTTTCTGATGGGTGTATTCAGCTGTCCTGGCAGCTGAAAATTGGGGAGTTTTCATTTGCATGTGTAAGAAAAGAAGAAGAGAAAATAGGGTTTGCGGTGTAATATCAACACTTTGCCTCAGAGACTGCTTGGAAGCCTGAATTCAATTTACGGCTAGTGTTAGTTAAAGCCTAGTCGGGCGTTGAGATTCCACCTGGTGGAAGAGCCTCCAAGACTACCCCTGGAGGCCGGTGTTCTCTCCCGATTATGGGGCCTTGAGCAAGGGTCTTGGGAAGAATCCAACCCTAAAGTGTGTGTGCAAGAACTTCTGTTCTGGGGGGTGGGGGGAGGTTAAAAGCTATTTCAGTTAGCATTTGCCTGTGTAATAGCTCACAGAGTCTGCTCCAGCAGTGCATTTGCTAAGTCAGTTGTTTAGAACCGGGGAGTGGGGGGTGCTTTTCCCATAGAAACAGCCACAGAAAGTGTTTGGGAGTTTCAAGGGCAGCCCAAGAGACCTATTTTACTGACATGGTATCTTATCCCTGGTGCATTTGGAAATCTCAGTGGGTGGTAAAGCAGAGATGGTAGTTTCGAGGTGGCTTGTGGATGTAGTCTCCATACTCTAGTTTTTGTATTTCTGCATGAGGTAATGGAAAGTATAGGAAGTTGGTCTGAGATACTTTCCTGGGGGAGGTGGGGAATCTTTTAAGAGCGGGGTAGCTGACACAGAGAAGACTGAAGCCTGAATCCCACCACAGCGTAAGCTTTGCCAGGACAGGAATACTGTCTGTTTTGTTCAGTGCTTCATCCCAAATACCTGATAGGTTGCCCAATGTAAAATAGGAACTTAAACTCTTGATGAATAAATAAATAAATCATATAGTTAATTCTTTAGATCAATTGTATTAGCACAAATTAAGAAAAATGTATGTGTTTCTTAAAAATCCTGTAGGACATCAACAGATTCAGAAGGATTCAAGAAATATAAAACCTAAATAATCAAAAGTAAAAGTCCCCTTTTATCCTGCTGATCCTACCCTTCACCTCAGAGACAATTAAAACTAGTCTAGTGGTTTTTTAAATGCATTTGCAAACATTCATAAAAACATACAAATTCATAGATTTTTCTCCCTTTATTGTATTTTATTATTTATTTATTTATTTGCTCATCATAATCGCACTCCTTCACCCTCATCCCCTATATCTCCCATCCCCCACTCCCACCTTCCCTCTGGTGACTATCAGTTTGTTCTCTGGAGTTAAAAGTCTGTTTCTTGGTTTATCTCTCTCTCTCTCTCTCTCTCTCTCTCTCTCTCTCTTTTTCCCCCTTTGCTCATTTGTTTTGTTTCTCAAATTCCAAGACATGGGCTTGGAATTTGTCTTTCTCTGAGTAACTTATTTTGCTTAGCATTATAACTCTCTAGCTCCATCCATGTTGTTATAAATGGCAAGATTTCGTCCTTCTTAGTGGCTGAATAATACACTACTTCTTCTTTATCCATTCATCTATCAGTGGATATTTGGACTGCTTCCAGAGTTTGGCTATTGTAAATAATAACGTAGGAATTTCTTTATAGATCTTGGGTTCTAACCCTTTATTGGATATGTCATTTGCAAATATCTTCTCCCATTCAGTAGATTGCCTTTTCATTCTGTTGATTATTTACTTCACAGTGCAGAAGATTTTATTTTGATGTAGTCCTAATAATTTACTTTTGCTTTTGTTTCCCTTGCCTCCGGAGACATATCTAGAAAAATGTTGCTACAGCCCATGTCAGAGAAATTACTGCTTGTGCTCTCCTGAAGGATTTTTATGGTTTTAGGTCTCACATGTAGATCTTTCCTCCATTTTGAGTTTATTTATCTTTGACAAAGGAAGAATGACTGTACAATGGGAAGAAGACAAGGTCCTCAATAAATGGTGCTGGGAAAATTGGACAGCCGCATGCAAAAGTATTAAACTAGACCACTTTCTTGTTCCCTTTATTTTATATAAATGGTGTCATGTTATTTTTTTAAATACTTTATTTACTTATTCATGAGAGACACACACAGAGAGAAAGAGAGAGAGAGAGAGAGAGAGGCAGAGACACAGGCAGAAGGAGAAGCAGGCTCAATGCAGGGAGCCTGACCTGGGACTTGATCCCTGGTCTCCAGGATCACGCCCTGGGCTGAAGGTGGTGCTAAACCACTGAGTCACCCAGGCTGCCCTAAATGGTGTTGTTTATATGTACTTTTTTGCACCCTGCTTTTCATTCCTTAAGAATGTATTTTAGACATCATTGCACCTCAGAACATTTAGATCTAACTCATTCTTTTTAACTGTTCCATAATCTTCTGTACTAAAAATGCATGTTAAAATTTATTAATTTCCCATCAGCGGCTATGTAGGTGTTACCGATCTTTTGCTATATCTAACTGTATTCTTTTCAATGCCCTTGAACACATTTCTTTGTGTATGAATATTTCTTTTAGATAGCTACCCAAAGTGAAATTGCTCTATTGATATATATATGTGCTATTAAAAATATTAGGTTTAGCATCAGATCAGAGTACTGTAGCGATTGGCATTCTCATCAGCAGGTGTGAGAGCAGCATCTACTCCTTCCCTTTACCAACGCTATACGTTATTCATTTTTTACCATTTTGCTAATTACAGAAATGCTCTGTCACTTAATTTGCATTTTCCAGATGATTTGGTAGGTTGAGCCTCTTTTAAGTTAGTTATGGACTAGTTTAAAAGTTGTTGACATATATTTAGCCTTGAATGAACTGCATCTTCACATATTTGGTGCTTTGTGTGATAACTTTGTTGTATGTTTGTTATTAATTTCTGAATATTCTTTATTATATTCTAATTATTAATTCTTTGTTAGGTAATTTGCAAATACATTTCTTTCTCTTCTGCTTGCTTTTGAACTTTGGTTAACTTTTTTCATAAAAAAAGTTTTCAAATTTTGAAAACACTATTGATTTGACCTCTTACAGGTAACCTGTCTTCCTTCTTGAAATATTTTTCACATTAATTTTCCTAAACAGTATACTTTCCTGGTTTGCCTCCTGACTCACCAGAAACTCTTTCTTATCTTTTATAGGCTCTTCCTTCTCTGTCTGGCCTCTAAATGTTAGAGTTCTTCAGAGCTTGGTTCTTCATACTCTTTTCAAATGACATTTTCACTTAATGTGATTTGACCATCGATAGCTTTAAATGCTGTCTTTGTGCCATCAATCTCTTTAATTAATGCCTCTAGATCATAGCTTTTCTTTAATGTCCAGGCAGACCACAAAATCCAATTTGCTTCCTTGACAGTCTCACATAGGTGCCTCTTAGGAATCTTACATTTAATGTATCTTAAACAGAATTCTCTTATAAACCCCTCCCACCCACCTACTCCAAACTTCCAAGTCTTTTCTATCTCCATAAGTGGAACTGTCATCTATCATGTTACTAAATCTGGATACTTTCTGTGATTCTCAGGGAGAACTGCCATATAGGACTGAAAACTTAAAGCTTTAAAAAAGAAGAAACAATCAGCTGATACTGACAATATGAATTCAAGCTAAATAAATGGGAAATCCAACCACAGGCACAAAATGCAAATCACAGAAGTGTCAGATGATGCCTGAACATCCTGCTGCATGTTTAAAATGTGGAATTTGAGGGGTACCTGGCTGGGCTCAGTCAGTAGAGTATGTTACACTTGATCTCGAGATTGTGAATTTGAGCCCCATTTTGGAGTTAGAGATTACTTAAAAACTAAATTAAATTAAATTTGGAATTTGATAAGTGAAACTTCATTTTCCTTATGCTAAGCATTC